CCAAGGCTAAACAGATCCCCCAAAGCCCCCACAGGCCCCTATCCAATGCCCCTGCAGGGCGCCGCCCAGGACAGCTGGCATTGCAGGAGATCCGCAAGTACCAGAAGAGCACCAACCTGCTGATGCGCCCCGGCCCCTTCGCCCGCCTGGTGAGAACCCCCCACATCCCAAAATGAACCCTGCTGCACCCTCAAATCCCCAGACACCCCAATTTCCCCCACAGAACCTCTCCAGCAGCCCCCATGGACTCTCAAGCCCTTCCAGGACCCCCCCCAGTTTCACTCCAGAACCTCCAACATTGTCTGGGATCTTCCAAACCGCTCTGGACTCCCTCTCCTGGGATCCCTAAATCCATTCCAGGACATTCCAGATAAACCCTCTTGGACCCTACAATCTCTCCCAGAGCCTTCAAATCCACCCTGGGACCCTTCAGCTCCCCACACAACTCTCCCAATTACCCACTGGGACCCTTCAAGCAATCCCTAGGACCCCTTCAAATCCAACCCCAAATCCACTCTGGGACCCCTGAAATCCTACCTGGAAGCCTCCAACCTCCCCTTGGACCCTATCCCAAAAACCCACTGGGATTTTCCAACCCCCTACAGACCCACCAAATTACCCCCCAGAGCCCCAGATCACCCCCTGTGACTCCTCAGGACCATCCCTTTCCCCCAGAGCCCACCCTCAACCTTGTTCCAGCCCTCCCCATGTACTTGTCCTCCCCATCCTCGTGACATGGTGGGCTTGTCCTCCCCCAACATCCTTGCATATCCCCCAATGTCCTTCTGTGATTACAGACATCCTTGTGTCCTGCCACCTTCAGAGGCTGCAGGGATTGGGTGTTCCCTGTGCCCCTCCCGCCCTGCTGGCACTGTCCCCCCTGTTGCTGCAGGGTGTCCCCATGTTCCCATGGCCGAGGGTGTTCCCAAGATGTTCCCAGAGTGGTGCTCCCCCCCCTGCCTCCCACCTGGGAGATCCCAGGGTGTCCCCATGATGATGTTCCCACATCCCCACTCCCCAGTGTATCCCCAGGTGTTCCTGGCCCCACTGTTCCCCTCCGTGCTGTGTCCCTAGAGTGTCTCCAGGGTGACAACAAGGGTGTCCCCAGCTCCCTGGGATGTCCCCAGGGCAGTGTCCCCATGTCTCCAGGGTGTCACCATGGTGGTGGCCCCAACCTGGGATGTCCCCAATGTCCCCACATCCCCTCCATGTTGTCCCAATGTGCCCACACTCCCTGTGACCCCGCTGCCCCCATGTGCCCCCCTCGCCGCGCCCTCCCTGTCGCAGGTGCGGGAGCTCTGCCTAGTCTTCACCCGCGGGGTCGATTACCGCTGGCAGCGCATGGCCCTGGTGGCACTGCAGGAGGTAGGGCTCGGGAGGTCCAGGCATGGTGGACGGGGGTCACAGAGGGGCCGGAGGGGTCCTGTGGTCCTGCAGAGGTATCAAGGGAACTTAGCGGGTTGGGGAGGGGGCTGAGGGGGGATCTCATGGATACTGAGAAGGTTTCCATGGGGGTTGGGGAAGGGGGTTCTGCAGGCGCTGCAGGGGGTTCTGTGGGTGCTGGAGGTGTCTCTGGGGGGCTGGGGAGGTCCAGGAAGGTCTCTTTGGATGCTTGGATGAGGCTGAGAGTTTTGTTGGGTGTGTGTGATGGGAGCTGAGGGGGAATCTAGGAGGGTCTCCATTGGTGGGGGGGAGGGGTCCATGGGTTCTGGGACAGGGTTCCATGGATGTTGAGAGGGTCTCTGGATGCTGGGCAGGAGGAGGGGTCCCTTATTCCCGGGGTCTGTTGGGGATTGAGGATGGGTCACGGGGTCTTGATCCCCCCCTAACACGTTTACAGGCACAAGGTGTTTTGGTCCCCACAGTCACCCATGGGTGGGTTTGGAGGGACCCTGCCCCCCGGGTGTGTGTTTGGGGGGGGGGCCGCCTCTGCCCCCGGGGGGAGGTGTGGGGGTTGGGGCATGCCGGAGGGCTTTGGGGACCCTCCCTCATGTTTTGTGACACAGGCAACAGAGGCCTTCATGGTGCGGCTGCTGGAGGACGCGTACCTGTGCTCGCTGCATGCCCGCCGAGTGACCCTGTACCCCAAGGATCTGCAGCTGGCTCGGCGCCTGCGGGGACCCGAGACGGGAGGAATCTGAATGGAGACCCCCCCATGGAGTCCCCCAAGCCCCCCCACGTGGACCCACCCCATAGACTCCCCTCTACTGGACCCCCACTTCAGGATCCCCAACAACCCCTTCAGGGACACATCCCAGGGTGGGGTTCCCCTTCCTTAGTCCAGCACCCCTGTTGAGGAGCCCTACCCATGATCCCCCTGGAACCCCCCCTCACCAGAATGCCAGTCCCAGGGAAACCTAGCCAGGACCTTTACCCTAGTTGACCTCTACCCCTCCCAGTTCTGCTGTACCCAAGTAAATGAATAAATGCTTGTGACCCCTAGGTGCTGATGCTGGGGAGGATGGAGGGTGAAATGAATAAATGGGGCAGGAGATCTTTCTCCGTTTTAATGCCTTTATTAACAAGAATCAGCTCAGGTGGGGAGAAGTTGACAGGTCGCGCCCACACCGCCGATGGTCCCAGGAGTGGCACGGAGGAGGAGGATGATTCAGCTGTGTCCGCTGGTCTGCAGGCAGAGCTGGGGCTTCCGTGCTCACGGCAGATAGGAGATTCCACCTTTTCGGTTTAACATTTCGGGTCCTCTCTCTAGTTAACATCTTTAGGTTAGGGTGAAAAGTAAAAAGGATCTTAGCAGGTACTGGATTAAGTTCCTCGTCCTTAGACATCACTTAGGTCTCTTAATTCTATGTTGGCTCGTTGTTTTTAGGGTTTTTTTCCTGGAAAGTTACAAAATTCAGTGAAATGCATTCTGATCTGCGTACTAGCTCTGATGTCACACCCTTCTGGTACCTGCAGGGTCCGGTGTCACTCCCTGGCAAGCATCAGGGGGACAATGGCTAATCACCAACCATTAACAGGTGATTGAAGAAGAACTCTCAATAGGTGGCTGCAACACGAAGCTAACTTAACAGCAACTGGTTCAACTTGTTTTAACTCTGCAACCTTAAAAAAATAGGTAACTTTTTATTCATAACAGAGGGGATTTGGGGGTTGAGGCACTGCAGGGGGGAGCTCTGGAGGGGAGGAGAACCCACAGGGAGGGGGACTCTGAGAGTATTTTGGGTGAGGGCAAGTGGGATGGGAGCCAGGAAGGTCTTGGGGCCTAAGGGGTTCCATGTGTGGTGGTGGTGGGGGTTTGCCTAGGGGCCGGCGCTTAGGGGATTCGAGCGGAGCTCAGGACTTTGGGGGCGCTGCTTAGAGGCGGCTTGAACGTGGGGGCGGGGGTTTGGAGGTGTCCCGTCCATGGGCGCAGCTCTGGCCTTGGGGCTTCAGCGGGGTCTCTATGGGGCGCGGCTTGGGGGAGTCACGCTTGGGGGGCTGCGGGGTTCCGGGCTCCCAGGCTGCTGTTCCCGCTGCCGCCGCTCGGGGCGCTGCTGAGCAGGGAGGGGCAGGGCCCGCTGAGGGCGCGGGGGGGACCCAGAACGGACCCGCCCAACCCCGTCCTGGCACCCCATCCCCCCCTTCCTCATGCCTTGGAGAGCCCTCCCAAACCTCAGAACCCAAAACCCACCTTGGGACCCCAAATTCCCTTAAACCTGCCCATCCCTACCATTCTTGGGGATGGGGTTTTGGGGTTTTCCCCCCAAACCTCAGGGACCCCAAATATCCCCCATAAAATCCCAGCCCAGCCACCACCCACCTGGTTTGGGATACCTCCAGTTTTGGGGTCTCCTCAACCCTCTTTTTTCCCCAGACAGGCTGGTGCTGAGTTTGGTAGGGAATATTTTTGTTACTGAACTTTCAAAGAAAGTTAACAACGCAAATTGTGGACAGGACAGAAAATTGTTTTGATGTCTCTAAGGTCCCTATAAGCAGCAGTACCTCTGATGATGAGGAAATCACATTACAACCCCAAATTAAAGATTAAACCTTCTATGATAGTCAGGGTCTGCACACTGTTACTAAAACAGTGTGGTACACAGCAGCCAAGATAGCAAAGTTCCAGGAAAAGTATAGCAGACTTACATAGTAACTGGAAATTGGATATGTTTGGAGAGTGCTTCTGGCAGGGGGTGACTGAATAATTTGTCTGAGGTGGAGGCCCAAGGCTTCTGGAGGGCAGAAGTATTTTTAATGGTGAGTGACCAGAGAAAATTTTTGTCTTTAACTCAGAGTGCCGCTTATTGAGCAGGAGGTTGAATCCATTAGAGAGGAGTGATTTGCTTAGGATCGAGACCCCAACTATAGATAATGGGACAGAGAGTGTACAGAAGGCAGCGTTTTTGCAACTGATGAATGACAGATGTTCCAGGATAGCCCTCACCTACACCACTAGTTCTCCAAGTATGTGGCTGCTATGGTTAGAGTTTTGCTGGACTTGATAAAATACTGCAGCAGAATTTCAGGATCACTTGAAGCAAATGTTAACCCCACAGACAGGAAGACAAGGGAAAAGACCTTAAAGTGGGAAAAGAGATCTTCAGGGCTAATTAGCTATTGCAGAAGGATGGGGTTCACTTAACAATTACAAAACGGAACAACAATCAGGAGATTGGAATTGCACCAAGAAAGCAGACTGCCCAAAAGGGAGCAGCAGGGTCCCAGTGCATGATGGAACGTAGTGTGAGCGAAAGGCCTGCAGAAAGGAATTTCTCGGGAAGTGATAAATTATCCACTGCTGTTCTGGAGAATGTAGTGCCTGGGGAAAAGGAAAATTGCACTCCCTTGCCACAAGCAGGATAAAGATGTTGATGTGGGAGTTGGAACTCCTGGGAGACCTATCATTACTATGGCCCCACAGGCTAATGTTGTTTATTGGAGTCTTAGAAACAACTTTCACCATCTTCAGTGAGCTGAAGGCTGGCAGCTGCAAACATTTAAGGAGGCTCACCAAAAATAAGACTTGCACAGAAAATGAGACATCAAAGTCACCACTGGCTTCTGAGAAGGAGACTGAAGAAAAACTGAGAACCCAAGTAGATAAACTTATGATCGAGAAAGATCATCTTAGGACCCTACTTGCTTCAGCAGAGTGTAAGGAAAGACAAGTATTTTATATTTTGAATAGGGAAAACTATAGAAGACAGAAACAAGACCTGAGAGAGGAAATCTTATTTATCCCTGTTACTGAGAACTGAACAATTGCGCAAACAGTTGCAGGAAGAAAAGGAGAAAAGATGAAAACTGAAAGAAACGGCACAGGTGATGCTTAAGTAAGCTACCAATTCACCCTCTATTGTGCAGAGTCCATTCAGGTGGCTGATTTGCAAAAGCATTCCAGGCACAAGGCAAGTGAGACTGAAATGCAAAAAGTGGAACCCTGTAAATACATACGTACTAATGACCCATACATCCAGATTCCAGTTGGTTCTTGTCAATGTTAATTACATTTCTAATAGATACAGGAGCATAACATTAAGTAGTAACAAAGCAGGATGCCAAGAAGCTGGGTGTATGATCCAGATGCTAAGAGTTAAAATCACTTTAGTAAATGGAGCAAATGTTATCTGCCAAGCTGCTAAGGTTAATTTATGGGTCCTGGATGAGAAGTGGATATTGGCTACTTGCTTTGCAATCAAAGATCACAATGACAATATTTGGGTCTTGATGTTCTGAGCATTTAAATCTGTTGTCTGCCTGATGGCAGTGAGTCAATGTTCATGTTTGAACATTAGCCCAAACCCTAAAAGGAATCCAGAGACTGTGCTGACTCCACATGGCACCTGCACTCCATGATCCAAAGACTGCTAGTGTGTCCCCATGCTGGATTTTTGTTGCAGGGAGAAGTGGAATTTCTGAAGTTCTGGCCAATTTGGCCCCACTAACAGTTGAAGTACCCAATACTGCAAACCTAACAGCCACAATATGAGCAGCCGTGTGCTTGGGCATTGATGGGGTGTGACAGATTAAAAGAAAAAGGTTCTGTCACTCAGTCACACTCCTATCTCTCCTGTCTGAAATAGTGGCCAGAGATCATTTTAACACACTCCAGTCTCATAGAACTTACCAGTGTTTAGCCAATGTTTGCTGTTGGCATTGCCATTATATCACAGATCACAGAATATTCTGAGTTAAAAGGCACCCACAGAGATCATCAAGTCCAGCTGTTAAGTGAATGGGCCATACACAGGTTGAACCAACAACTGTGGTGTTATGAGCACCATGCTCAGACCAATCAAGCTAGTCTTAGGGTCTGGCTCATGAAAGAGTCGAACACACAGTTGTGGCTTATGGTTTATTACAGGCAGTTGAACACCAGTACCACATCTACAATCACTGCTGTACTAAACTTTGTGGAACTGATAGCTCAAATTAGGAGAGCACCCTACTCATGGAGGACAACTCAAATTGCAGGTGTCGCCCCCTGAAAACACGGGAAGCAGCAACAGAAGAGGGCAAGCACTTCATAAAGTAGAAGTTGAGATTCCTCCTGAAGATTGTCAAGGCCTGACACCATGCAAGACCAAATAAATATTCACTATTCAATTAAACTGCATGTAAAGATGATGGTACGGAGAGATTCTGAGTGGGAAAAAGGAATTTTGTCATTAGTCCGAGTGTTTAAACAACTTGAGCCACTAAGGGGTAACCTGTCCAGGCTAACGCTGCTGAGACTCATATTGTTTTTTCCATCCAGGAATTATATCAGTAATGATTCCAGCACACCCCCACTGAGGATCAAGGACATTGAAGGACAGCTTATCCCTGTTGCAGGAGCAATCACTGCCAGCAGGAAGCAAATTTGGTTCACACATTAACAAGTTCAACCCACAAAGTAAAGTCACTTCTTTTATTTAAGCTAATAAGTATGGTAACTTAGTACATGCATTCTACATCACACCTGCTTTTCAGTTGTAAGTGCAATTAATTGAATATGACCAGGGATTTTACCCACTACCCAAATTACATAACACTTCCAATATTATGTCCTAGGATTGCTCCCACCAAAAGGTGCCATGATAGAGAGGTCTTGGCTGACCTTTACCTCCCCTGTGCATTGGAAATTTAAGCAACTAATTTAGGTTCTACCCTAATGTCATTCATAATTGTTGGGGTTTGGTATATTGAGTTTTGTCTGCTACATCCCACTATGTAAAGCAAAGAACAGAAGAGGAGCTGAGCAGTATTGTACTGCCTTGTGTAGAGCCATTTTATTCCTGGGGATGTTCCAGGTCTGTGGATCCCCTGTGTCATTTAAAAAACCCCACAGCTTTAAGTAAGAGAGTCTCAGACTCAGCCCATGATCCACCGAAGGAAGACAAATAATAACTGCCATGAACTTATGTTTGCCCAGGTAAAAACTTGCTCTTTCTTTCATTCTCTCTCTCTCTTTTTTTTGTTTTTTTTTTTTTTTTTGTGTGTGTGTGTGTGTGTGTGTGTGTGTGTGTGTGTGTGTGTGTGTGTGTGTGTGTGTGTGTGTGTGTGTGTGTGTGTGTGTGTGTGTGTGTGTGTGTGTGTGTGTGTGTGTGTGTGTGTGTGTGTGTGTGTGTGTGTGTGTGTGTGTGTGTGTGTGTGTGTGTGTGTGTGTGTGTGTGTGTGTGTGTGTGTGTGTGTGTGTGTGTGTGTTTAATACACACCATCTTTGCCGAGATGAAATTAAGGCAATTAAAGCCCCATTTTCCTGCGCCTGTGAGCAAGGAAGAGAAGCGATGAGGTCTGTGCTCGGTTTTTGCGGCGGGAGAGCGGGGCCGGCCGTGCCGGTGCAGGGCGTGGAGCCGGCGATGCCTGAGCCGTGGCAACTCGCAACCGGGAAAGGAGCACTGGGACCGCAGCTGGGCACGGCAGGGATGCTGTACCCGAGCCGAGGATGCCCGGGACGCTGGATGCAGCTGGGCACGGCAGGGATGCTGTACCCGAGCCGAGGATGCCCGGGACGCTGGATGCAGCTGGGCACGGCAGGGATGCTGTACCCGAGCCGAGGATGCCCGGGACGCTGCCGCTGCATCCAACACCGGGCCGGGCCGGCGCCACCTGGCGGCCTCCGGGCACGGAGCGGCCCGCACGGCTCCCGCGGGGCTGTCGGGGAGTGAGGCTTTCCAACCTCCTCATAAACGCCCATGGTCTCCCTGGTACCGTCAGGCCGTGCTGTAGAGGTCGGCAGTAAGAACCACCCGTGCCACCCCCTTCTCCGCAGCCCTCGAAGTGCCCGATTCCCCCATTCCTTTCCAAGTCTCGGCTACTGGCGTGTTTTCCAGTCCATTTTCCAGTGCTCTCCCATCCTCTGGCTTCTGTAGGGATGTGGAGCCAAGGTTGCAGTCGAGGCATGAAACCATGTCTGTGGTGATGAGACATCAGCAGCGAGGGCAAGGGCTGAGCAGGATCATGACCAGTGCCTTCCCATGCCCAGAACTGAGGGTTAGGACAGCTGGGCAGTCTGTCCCTTTCCAGTCACTCTTCTGCTGGGCCAGAGGCAATGGCAAGGAATGTCCCACACTTCTGTAGTGATAACCTCTCAGATACAGTAGAAAGTATCTGCCAAATAAGTCTCATTTATAAATACAAAAGAGATACAAAACCTAGATTCACAATGATAGATGGCGTGAAATGTTAGCGTCACATTCATTTCAAGCACATTCAGGATCTGGAGTACACAAGGGCTCTGTGTACCTTTCTATTCTCAGAATGTATAACTTCTCTATAGACACATAACTACTAACTTACCTGTTCCCCATTAATGGAGTTGAAAGCTGCTGCTGGTCAACACAAACATGGAATTTCAATAGAAATGCCACCAAAGAGCAAAATGGGGTTTCCTGAAAAGGCTGGGTTAGCTACATGATGCCCATCACGACCAAGTAGCACCACCACAGCTTTACAAACCCTACATATAGTTATCCTGAAAAGGAGCACTGGTTTTGTGTTCCTTTACTGTAGACTGTTTCTATAGAGGAAGCCAGCAGCATTTCCCTGGTGACACTTCCAATGTCTGAGAACAAGGAGCTGGACAAAAGCTGGACACATGTTCCCTTTCCTCTTCATGGACAGATGTCCAGGGGAAAGAGAAAACTAAAGCCAAAAAGGGAGTTGTGTCTCTAACATTGACACTTGCAGGGCCAGGTCTGCAGAATACATGTCAGACTACTCTTACCCCTGATCGGGACAATATAAAAAATTACATTAGGTGACACAAGAACCATTTCGTTTCCCTTCTTCTTACATTATATTAAAATGAAGTTTTTTATGATTTGAGAAGAGCTGTAACATTTTGGTCACTGGGACTGGACGAGACCCATCTGCTCAGAAAGCATGTCTCAGGTTCAGTGTTGTAGAAGTCACAGAGACTTCAAAGCCAAAGAAATCAGAATAAAATTCCTCTTCATGCAGCACCACACAAAAGCAAACAATTTACCTTTGCATTCTTCGGCAGCAGCACTAGATGCCCAGCTCAGGCTTTGGAAATCATGGTCCACTGGTGACCTCCAACCATCTTTTTGTCCCATGCTGTGTTGTTCTCATCTTTTAATACAATCCTCTGTAAACGACCTTTATAGTGCACATGCACTGTGAAGTATTTTAGCAATGTGACACTTGTCATTGTGACAGGTGACCCAGGTGAAACACAGGAAGACTTTACACCCAGGATTTTGTTTCCCATTGCTCTGAAGATGCCTCCCCAATGTTCCCAGAGGAGCTTCCTCCTCCACAGCTGTAACCCTGCTGGGTTTTCTGCCCCACAAAGCCCTTTGTCCATCAGCACAGATATCCTCAGCACCCAGAGGTTACCCTGATGGTGGCTGCAGTCACTGGTGTGCAGCAGCAGTCTAAGGGAGAGTGAGAAAAGGGACTAATTGTTTGAAACAGGGTGGAAAGTTGCAAATAATGAGTTACACAGTAGGTGACCTGCTTTAAACCACCTTTTGCATCTGCTTCTCTTCAGTGACTTCACATTTTAGGTGAACTGAATTATGCCCAAGGTATGTTTAGGCATCTGCAGCAGATAATGTAAATATGTCAAAACCAGATGCTATTGTCTTACAATCTGGCAGTCAATGCAGGGCTTTCTGAAATTATTTCTACATGTATCTCTGATATCATCATGCTCAATTTGTAAAACAGCCAGCATATCAGCAGGAATAAATCAGAATCTCCACCAACGTCCAAAATAGCCTCTTGCAACAAGGCATCGTGCTTAAGGTTGCAATGTTTTTCCCATTATCTTCTAAACTCAGTTACTCACTGACAGCTCCTACCAGAGACCTTGCTCCCACCAGTCTGCTGGAGCTCATCCAGCTGCCTGTGCCTGCTGTGGGAAGGGAAACACCAGGCTCCAGCTTCAACAGAGCACAAGTCTCTTCCACAACTCCTCTGGATTTGGAAAGGGATGTTTCCAAATGCTGTCAGCACCAACTCTTCAATGCTGTTACTTCAGCTGGCCTTTGAAGATTGCCGGTGAGCTAGACAGAGAGCAAGCCCCCTGGGAACATGGAATGCCAGCACCACCCACTGCCTGTAAAGGAATGCCTGACACACACGCAGTGCCAGGGGAAAGCTCTGTGATTCTGCCCTGAGACAGCTGTCTGTCATAACAAACTCCTCCTTCCCTTGCTCTGCTCTTCTTTCCAAACTAAATAGGAAGGGAATTACCTCACACCCCCTCAAAAAAAGCTTGGTCTTGTTCAAATAGAAACATGGGTTGCCTGGGTTGGCTCCAACACTAAATCTAATTAACAGAAGAACAGAGCTGAAATAAACACATGAGAAGTTGCTTATTTTCTAAATAAGACTAAATTTATTCATTACCCTAGTAAAAACAAAGTTTGGATTACAAGTGTCTGAACAGTATAAAAGTACAAAACAGGTTCCATAGATTTCTAATACATTAATACAAAGTGCATGACTACTCATTTTGCATTACTACCGGGAATGGAAGAGGTGGGAGGGAGTAGGGGAAGCAGTTGGCGGTTGAAATCTAGCAATAAATAAATAAATACAGAAGAGATGATCCATATCAGAGCACATCCTACCACCAACACTGCAGCCTTCTTAGGTGTACAGAATTACTGATGCTGAAAACACAAATTCACATGAAATAGGTGTCTGCAAACACAGCAAGAACTCTTGTTCAAGCCCTTATTAGACATGACCAACCTAGTTATGCCTTTATACAATCAAGTATCTATTATATCTATGGCTGGACTCAATGGGCTTAGGTCTTTTCCAACCTGAATTATTCTATTTGGTTGAGAATAAAAGCAAGGTAAGCAGCTTTGTCCTCCCTTAAGAACCTCAGAGTTTAGGAAAAGCAAAATGAGTCCAAGGTAAGGCTGTGATAAGTCAAAGCCCTGTTTCCCCTGATTTTCTTTCTCTCCAGAGATTGGCTGACCCAACAGGAGAGGAAAAAAGAAAGAAAAAAAAAGCTTTGAGGGTAGAGGCTCCTCTTAAAACCTGCATATCTTTCCCTATCTATATTTTAATTTGCTAAGTATTCCCATTTCAGGAACCGAGACTACATGGAAATCCAGTCCTAAACCCTACCCACCACAGTATTATGCCAATGACTCACAAAAAAGGAAAGCTTAGAATCATAGAATATGCTGAGTTGAGGGACCCATCAGGACCAACTCCAACTACTGGCCCTACACAGGACACCACAAGAATCACACCATGTAGCAATCCATTGTAGGATATCCTAAAAGAGTAATAGTAAAAAAAAAAAAAAAAAAAAATCCTCCCTCCCCCTAAAACCAGGAAAAAACCAACCAAACAAAAAGCAGAATTCCCAACTCACACAAGTAAAACCTTCATAAAAGGAACGTGAAGCAACTGGGAGCTAAAACTGCAGCACAATCTTCCAGGAAGCTTCTTCCACCCTAGAGGCAAAGCAGAGCTTGAAGGAGTGTCACAATGATTTGCACATGAGCTTGTCTGGGAATCTGTGTAGAAAGTATTATCTTTTGATCACATATGCAAACAGAGCTGCTGCCTTGATTCAGCACGGCACCATTCTTAGCAGAACTTTTCAGATTCAGTATTCACAAAAGTGTTGACCTGGCAGCTGCTTAAACAAACAAACAGAAAAAAAAAAAAAAAAAAAAAACCTAAACCCAAACACAGAGAAACACTGCAGGGGAAGGGTTTCAAAACAGTTATAGTGAATCCAGACCCCAGGCTGCAACCAGATTATGTCCCTGAACCAGAGCCTAACTTGCTTAGCAAGGGCTTTGGTTCTTTGTCAGGTCCAAAACTAGGAGGAGTCTTGTTTGTGGTCACATTTCAGCTGCACTGGGCCTACAGAGAGCAGTTACTCACTTTTGGCTGCCATCTACACCTGACTTGGGCATCAAGGCGTTTCTTGGTCCATCTCTAACCACCAGGGGTTACTACACCAAGCCCAGGGTGTCTACTGTTGGCTTAAAAAAAAAGTAACTTCCCATTTTGCTATGTTCAGTTCTTAGGTAAATCTTAATCCTTAGCTAAGGTGGAGAGCTCTCCCACCCCTTCTCAAGAGCACTTTTATGCTGGGGGCCTTCTCAGATAGCTACCACTTGAAGTAGAGATGTCTGCAGATTACCAGTCTGTGTCACACGGGAGGAATGAAACACTTGTCTTTGTTATGTCAGTAGTATAGGGTGAAATCGCCACACCTTTAAAAATATATATTTATATAACTAGAGAGGTGACTTATAACATTTCTATGTATTAGTTCATTTCATTGACTCATACATGTCTAAGAATGAAATATTTTCTTGGGAATTTAGGAAGTTTGCCAACCAACTTTTAAAGAAAGAAAAAAAAAATCCAAAAAAGCCTTACAACCACTGCTTCTTTCAGTACAGAAACATGAGCTAATATACTTTAATATACAAACCCCATCTTCATATTCACTTGGGAAGTGAGTGTGGGGGAAAATTAGACAACCTTGCAGCAGCATTCAGCTTTGCCAAGTGTTCCATAGCATCTTAAATATTATGTACAGTCTTTTTGAAAGGATACAAACTGGCTTCAGAGTTTGTGGAATCGTAGCAGTAAAACCCAAAACAGTTCTAGGGAATAGTCTTTTGGCAGCATAGCAGGTGTCCAAAGTGAACAGTCACTTTGCTAGTATTTTTCCAGAGAATAAGAGGATCTGTATAACCTTCTGCAGCTATCCAAGGAAGTCACCACTCCTCCTGGGTGGAGATTGCTGGAGATTGGGGTCCTTCTTGTTCTGGCTTTTCAGTGGCAGATTTTTTATTGCTACAACAAGGTTTGAAGAGATGAGTGTCTATGAGGACTTCTCCAAAACGCCCTTTGTAAATAATTCCACAGCAGACCTTTTGCCTGGAAGAAATGGCAGGGAGACAGTACTTTGTTTAGAATATACAGAATTCACAAACATGCAAAAAGCAAGTCTGACCCCAGACACTACTTTATTGAGCCACCAGCCCAGAGAACAGGGGCAAAAAGACTGCTCGCAAACAGAAAACAAGTCTGTGTCTAAATCCACAACAGGTCTTCGGGGGAAAAAAAAAGAAAAAAAAGAAAAAAAAAAAGAAAAAAAAAGAAAAAAAAAACCCCAACATGTTTATACAAAAACCAAGTCTCCAACTTTGCTTCCCAGAGAAGTTTCAGACACAACCATCTGGTCTGAACTAACCTTGGCTACAATGTACTTGCAAATATTATTTGAGAGGAGGCAGCAAAGTCACAACAATTTCAATTGAGCAATTAGCTAAACAAGGGATTACTATGTCACAACATGCAATAAAGATAACAAGCTCGTCAGCTCCCAGAAAAGCTTGTGGTTTTCCTCCCACTCCAGAAAGTTGTTGGGGTTTTTTTGGGTTTTTTTTTACTTTTTGTTTTTTTTTTTTTTGGTTTTTTTTTTTTGTTTTTTTGTTTTTTGTTTTTTTTTGTTTTTTCCTTTTTTCTCCCAAATGACTACCATCACAAGTCAACCAAATCAAATGCTATGTTTTGCTGGCAAGCTGGGAGCACTCTTGTACGTAGCAACACATCATATCTACAGGGCATAGTTTTAAGAAGAGATAATGACAGACAGGAATATAATCTGCTATTCCCAAAACCAGCAAAAATATTTCCCAGCAACTGTTTTAACGTTTAGGGAACTGAAGGGAGATAGGGGAAAATGTCTTAAACACAAGCCATTTCTTTCCAAGCATGAACAGACAGGTGTTGTATAATGCCCTGTGACTTAAAATCATATCCCTATACCAGATCAGGATGAAGAGGCAAAATTCAAGCAGCATGTATGCAAAGTGAGCTTGCTGCCTGCACAGAAGGCACATTCTGCTTTTTACCTTTTCCAGTAGGTGAGATCTAGGAAGGAGAACACTGGCGTTCTGCTGGCCCCAGCGCTCAGCTCCGTGTCAGAGCCATCGTCCGACTGGTTACTGTAACAGGGCGACTGAGCTGGGGAGGCACTTGAAGTTGTGCTGTGGGCATCAGAATCTGCAGGGCAAAGAAGAAATGCAAGGATCAGGACATGCACCCAATGACCTACCCTCCCTCCTGACTTGTGGATTGGGAGTAGGGGCACAGATATGCTAAATTAACAAGAAAAACCTAACAACAACAACCCATTTATTTCACTTGCTCCTGCCTGTTTCAGTATAGAGTGTCAGGATTTGTGAAAGAGCCTTCAGAAGTGGAAGGAGTCCTTGTACATGAGGGATTGGAAAGAGGTTCAGGATCAGGCTTCAGTTTCTAGCTCTCAAACCCAGCCCACGCTCTGAAATCACTGGGACATCCCTCAATACAGTGAAGATCTGTGCTCCAGACTTTCTCACTGTACATTTTCTTTCCCACCCTTTCAGGTAACGTGCTGCAAAGCTTTTCCAAATAGTGCATTATATATATATATATTCTCATTATGTGCTAGGTAGTGTTGAGCTTTTGCTGGATCAAGACCAGGAGCTACAGACCCAGGGCAGACACACCCCAACAGTGCCTGCTCTCCCACATTTCAGCTGCCATCTCTGGCAGCTACAGTGACAAAATCAGATTAACTGCAGTGCCTTGAATGAGGAGATAAAAGCTCATTGAGTCAGGGCCTTTACTGATTCTTTGGAGACTTCTCCTTCTGACTGGGCAGGATAATTAAAAGAGAGAGAGACCAAGTCAGCAACAGTTAAGAAGCTGGAAGGCTTGCTTTAGAAGAAAAGCCTTAAGTACTGACACACATTTAGAGCATAACTGGCAGGTGGTTTTGTTGGAAAGCTGTGAATCCAGATCTGTTTGGAAAGTCCTTGTACTACTGGAAAGAAATCACTGAGACTGGCAGAGGAAGGTATAAGGAAACATGGTAGGAATTTAAGGGTGGGGTAAATCTATGTTTAAAAGTACATAGGGAAGAAAAAGACTGCAATGTTTTTTTGGGAAAAGAGAGCTGAAAATGGCCATAGCACATGACTGAAAGCAGGGAGAAGCCTATTCCAGCTTCAGTTTCAGTATCTTTGCCCAGGATGTTCTTTCCAGGGATATGTCATTTAAATGTGGGACATAAGCTAGAACTGCCTGCACTTTCAATCCAGACTCCTCATGCCCCCTTGCCACTCCCCCACCTCTGTCTTGAAGCCCACCCTGCACACAAGCTCTTCCTTCTCATTCCACATCCTCCCAAAACTCTCAGAGGATAAGAGGCTGTGAAAACAGGGAGAGCCCAAACGTGGGAGTGCACAACCAAATCTAGACAGTGACTCAGCTTGGCCAGTTAACAGCGAGCTGTGTTAGGGAAGGCTGAAGTTTATTGCCAGAATTTCTTTGGATCCACTTACTGTGCCGCTTGAATTCCTTTTGCAGTTTGCTGATTTGATTGCTCTTTATTCTGCTTCCAGAGAGAGTTTTCATTTTCTTTGGTTTCAATGTTGTTTTAAGGCTGGGTCCAGCCCTGGCATCTACCACCTAGAACAGAGAAAATGCATGTCTGAATACTTGTGCATAATGCCCAGGTATTTCTCCAGTCAAGACACAGGTACTGACTTAGCAGAAGGTGTTCCAAACCCCCTTGGTTAATCCAAGGCATTTCTGTGCACTGACACTCTCATGTTTCATTTAAATCTGGCTAAATCTCAGCCTCTGCAAGAGGCTGAGTCTGCAGGAAAACACAGCAAACTAGTTTAAAAAGCACATTTGGTTCAACTTTTACCAACTTCCCGTTTTTAACACATTCAGTTTAGAACCAAATAATTGTTTAAGCTAATACTGGTCCAGTTAAGAGTGTCTGCCAAGCATTTGCTCTGTGTTTTTTTTTTTTTGGCGGGGAGGGGGGGTGGTTTAGTCATAAATTTAACTTTTGAGTAAAGCTAGTGGTAGTTATGGCTCCCAATTCTATCAAGGCATGCTGGATAAAGATTATTATATACACAAGGAATCCTGATCATCCTCCCAGCCTTAGGCCTGAATTGAATTAGACATATCAAAACAGAATATATGAGTGAAAATAGCTGCAAGATTATTAGTCATTGTAATTATCTGATTAAATGAGATTGATTAATGTGTTGCTTGAGCAAATCACTTTGTTTGGGGGAAAAAAAAAAACCAACCAATTTTGGATAAAGGCCAAACTTGAATTTTATTTTTTTTAATGTCCTAAGAGAATTTTGGACAAAGTCATGAGCTTTGGAAAACAAAGAATTACAAGGCAAGTTGGTCTGTGACTACATCTCAGGCTTGCATAATCACCATTTGCACATAAGCAGGTAGGAGCCACACAGTAGTAAATACTCCAGGAAGGATTTAAAGATGCTGATGGTGAGAAAGGAGAGTGTGGGTGAAAGAGCAAACCCCAAACCCCTGCCAGCACCTCTCCTCTCTAGAAAGAGTTAGTTTTCGGGCAGAAGAGAAATAAATTACTAACGTGATTCCAGTTTTTTTTTGATCCTGCTGGTAATTTTTTCCATCTTTTCACCAAAAGAACACAGGCATTGCAAATATCTCCTGAGCGAGCCTCACGGAGCCTGGCAAAAACAAAAGCAAAGATCACTTAACAACAGTTAATAAAAGCACACCTCCACTTGGTAACAGCAAGAAGTATAAAAATTGATGAATAAGAAGGGTTCTGAAATTCTGTTTTTCTGACATTGCAGTTCATGTGGGATGCTCAAACTGTGCCATTTAAAGACCAGGTCTCACTTTCAGAAAGCACTCTTCCACACAGAAATAAAAAGGTGGCACAATCCGCCTCCAGAGGGGCACTGAAAACAACAGACCCATCACCTGCAGGTTTTGGAATCTCTTCTCCCAAAACCAAGACACAATTGCAGCGGATTGTTTTGGAGCAGGAGGAATAATCATGTTATTCAAACGTACACTTGGGAACAAACATCAAAAGCTTACTCAGGTCTTAACTTTCCCACAGAGCTTCAAGGATGAGTAACAAACACCACCTAACACACTCCCACACGAGCACAGGATAAGATTTCAGAAACAGCAGTCACTGGAATGACAGCAATACTTGCTCCCTCTAACAAGCTTTCCTCAGGAATCATCTCTACTGCTAACCCATGCTAAAAGAAATACAACAGGGAAACACTGCATAATTTTTCAGCTAATTAAATAGGAAGACTTTGCATCATTATAGATTAATGAGGCAGGCTCAGAAAACCATTATCTGCCCAGTGGTCAGGCTGCATTTTTACCTTGGCAAACATATTTCATATAGCACAACAACAATGGTCCTGGTAAATTGCGAACTGCTTCACTGCAGTTAAAAACAACAACCACCAAAAAAAAAGCAATGGATCTGCACACAGCCTTTGACTGCCAAGGACAGTAGTGAAGAAACATGATAAGGAAAACTGCCAGCACCAGACTTGTGTACAAAAATCCAAGGTAAATACAAAGCACTCTAAAGTTCACTACATGAAAAGAGTGTTTCTAGAAAAAGTGGGGAAAATTTGTGAGTTTTATACAAAATTTCAAAGCTCTTCAAAGGTATTCAAAAAAAATTGAAAGATCACAGTAACTGGTACAAGAAATCTCTAGTATTTAGTTTTATTTACCAATGCTTTCAAGTAACATTGCCTAACTGGAAAGCTAATCACTTTCCAAATGGTTTTCCAATGAGAAATTTTAGTAACACATTGCTATGTCCTATTTGAACAAAGACACCAATATTTGTAACAGGATACTCTGCATAAACCCGGCTGAAACTGCTAAATATTTACTCATCAAGTTTTATCTACCATTCTTGAATTTTCAGAGCCACAGAAAGCCTCCATGGATGTGTGGAATTCATTATTTTATGTAGGCGTTTACACCTCTATGGAACCAGCAAAAAATGCACAGTCTGAGAGATGACTAAAATCCCTGCACGTGCTGTGGAGGCGGGAGAGACACAAGCCTGATCCTTTGGTGTTATGAATTACCAGCTCTCCCTTGGCAGTGACAACAGACTGAAAATTAAATGGTACCATACACAGCAGCAGGATCCCTCCTGTCTGCCCAGGAACGCTGTGAGGAAGCTGAAGGCAGCCTTCTCCCACCACTCCCCTCTGCTAACCTAATCTCTCAGGCTTTCAGAGCAAGAAGGACAGTACATCAGGTTTGCAGCTTAGAGATCAATGCCAAAACTGCTGACCAAGGTGGGAATCTTACCCAAAACAGTTCTGGAAATCCTTTTCATAACGTTTGCTGTCAGTAAAACGAGAACTGGAAGACTTAGCTCTGCAAATACAGCAGCCCTCTATACTCCGGTACATCTTCGGTTTGTGAAAGCCAAACATCTTTTCCTCCCAGCTGTACCCTGTGAAAACAAACAGAAACTGGTGTTAATTATCACTGTTAGATAATGGAAGAAAAACTGCTAGATTAGGGCATAGTTTTTTATTCCACGTTGCCTCAGAAGAACAGATGCACCTAGAATGCAGTTGTTAAAAAAAATTATATAATTAACAGCTGGAATATTAAGCAATACCCAGCAGGACCCACAACAAGCTCATTTACTGCAGAAATCTACTCCAAGGGCACATCTACAGACAGCACAACCCAGATGTGTGAATGCAGCCAACCTGGCCAGTGAAATTCCTGTGCATGTGGCAAAGCTGGCTGCAGGACAGGCCATGTGTCCAAGCCCATGGACAGGGAGCTGGCAGCTGAACTCTGGGTCACTGAACTACTTCATCACCACCACCCGTGCTGGTTGGAAACACCCCTGGCAAACTTTGCTGAGAGTGAGTAGGAGTCATTTTAAATGAGCTCAGTCATACCCCCGGGCTGTAGGGCAGACATACCTGAAAAGCTGCTCTAAAAACAGCAGGGTGGAGTCTCACCCAGCCCTCAATGGCCCTGTCTGCACTGCAGGACCCGGGAGCACTTCTCTCTTCTCAGGGCCTGGGTGAGCATCCCAGCTCCATGTCAGCACATGCTCTGTTCTCAGCCTCCTGCCTTCCCCACCCTGCTTTCCATGGGAAGGAAACCTAACTAGGAAAGAAAGGGCCAGGGAGCAGGACCCTGGGGCACATCTCAGCATGTGCCTACCACACACGCCCTGCCAAAAGGATGGAACTCCAGTTACAGGGAAGTTGTTGCTTTGTAACCACCAGCTCTGCAAACTCGGCACCAGCCCAGAAAGCCAAGAATGCCCTCCTGCTCCTGATCCTATTCTTTTCAGTACACCAAGGCTGGGATTTGCTATTAGAACTGGTATCATACAGTGGAGCCATTTTCCAGGCAGAAACTTCTCAAGTCAGTCACTGCAGTCACCATGACCCCCCACCAAACCAGTTCTCCCCTAAGTTGGTGGTTCCCCAGTGCAGACCCCTGTCAGGCACGGTCTGGCACAGCACGAGGCACTGTCAGAGCAAACAGGGTTCCCACAGCGCTTCAGAAACCCAAACCAACAACCGAGCAAAGCTGCTGCTCTCCTGGCACTGGGCCTGGACACACAGCAAGTCCTCACAGGCCACACAGCATCAGTCTCATAAGGCAGGCAGGGACTCTTCCAAGATGTTCTCTTTTGAACAGACCCTGGTGCAAGGTTTGCCTCCAGCACCTGCTGCAAGGAGCGAGCAGCCACCTCTGCTGCTCACCACACACCAAGGGCTCAGAGAAGGGACAGGCTGCAGGAAGCTCCAGGAGAATAGGTTCCCACTGCTTTAAAAAAAATTAAAATTGGATGGAGCCATGCAAATAACACAACATTTCCCTCTCTTTCCTTAGCAAAGGCCAAGCTGCTGAATTAATTAAGAAGATAACAAAAAAACCTACTGAATGACCCTGCAGCTCAGGAAGGACTTTCAAGAGAGGAGCAACTGTGGTGAGGGGGAACTCTCAGTCACTTCTCAGTCCCAGGTACTATCATTAACCCAACTCAGGTTACTGGTTAATGTCTGTGGCATAGGCATCTGTCCCCAAATCCTCCACCTTCAGAAAGGTAAGTGCTGTAATCCTTTTACCTTCCAGTGGTACAGAGAAAAATCATCTGAAATCTTGTGTCTACACTGCCAGGACTTGCCACATCATTATGGCAATAAAATATTTTGAAAGACAGGTTCAGGTGAGGCCAGAAACATGCTTCCACAAAATGATCGTACCCAGCATTACACGCACCTGACTGACAGGGGGATGGGGTGCAACAGGAAAAGATCCCACACACTTCTGCAGGACCACAGCAAAAGCTAGGGAACCACCCAAGCCCAGGCACAGTCCTATGTAGAGGTGAAAATGCATCTCCCCACCCCAGGAAGATCAAGAGCACAGGAGCACAGCAAGCTAAACATGCAGTTTCCCAGACTCCCAAGAACAAGAGAAAAGTAAAAATTGTATCCAATACTGTTGGTTAATACTCTGACACAAAATCCATCAAGGAACCTGTTTCCAGCTGAAAGTGGGCATGTCTGCATTTCAGTCTAGCATATATGAGACCACTTGGGGCTCCCTGAGGTTGTGGCTCTTCACAATTACTACTGCACCAACATTTAGGAAGACTCAACTCTCCATAAAGCTTGTCTTGACTTGTAGAGCCTGTTGATGGCAAGGCACTTGCTCAAGCTGAATGCCAAGGAGATCCTCCAGGCCTAGGAGAGAGATGGAAAGGATAAGTCCTTCCTTCCCTCCCATCCCAGGTCATGCTGTCTTCCACAGGCTTGAAGTGCTGAATTCCCTTCTTCACATTGACAGCACAAGGAGCTCACCTAGGGCTACGTTCTCCCAAGGCTGACTTGTGCAAACGTCCAGCATAGTCACCCGAAATGGTGTCAGCTTTTTAGGAGATTCACTACTCCCTACATTAGCACAGCATTGGCCAGAAGGCCAGGAGCAGATCTAGTAAGTGAAAGAAGGCATCCAGTTAGTAACCTGCTGAATGGGCTCACGGAGGGATGGTAGTCTCAGAACTACTCTCAGCCTCTGCTGGATGTGCAGCAAATGAATACACAGCCAAATCGGATAAATATTCCTGTCTTGTCAAGAAAATAAACAAGAGAGTATTTAGGCAAACACTGTGAGTATTTAGTTTCTTAGCACCTGATGTGCTTCTTCAGGAGATACTCTTGAGGACATTGCTCAACAAGCCTCTGGAGATCCAACAGCATGCTCACCTGGGAATTTTCAACTTCCAAACAGCAATTTTAGATGTTGTTTGACTACTCCAATGTTAAATCTGTGGCCTGGTACTTTTCTTTAGAAAGTCAAAGACTAATTGCCGACACAAAGTTCACCCATGCTGCCAAACTTAAGGCAAGAAAATCTTGACTGCTACGTGGCAAGGAACAAGTGTCAACAATGCAGTTTACTTTCTAACCAAGTTTCTTCCAGGAGTCCAGACAGTGATAAGACGATCTCTGTCACCAGCTGGTATTTACACCATAGCAGAATAAGATGCATGTTTTACAATCAATGTTCTGGCAAAGCCTGGAAAACACATATATTCTGAAAATATTTTGGTTTGCATCATTGCTGCCATTCTCACAGGAGCAGCCTTTCAACACCATCCTTCAATAGAAGGGAAACTAGTGCCATCTGTTTCCCACTTGATGAATGGTCAGCAATGGTATTACCACACATCATGCCTGAATGGGGAAGAGCTAGTAGCAAAACCACAAGTTTAACAGATTTCTCTGACAACTGCATCCAAGTGCAGTTATAAATGGAAGACATCAGTCCAGTTACACATTTAATCCTAAACAGTTGCCATTTGACCATTATACACTAAATATTCTGTCAGCTGGAGAGCTTAATAGCTAATATGGACTTAGAAGTAAATATGACTGTGCCATTTAAAAGGTTTAACTTGAAAGCTTTGCAATTTAGATCTCGAATTAGAACCAAGGAGTTAGGATGCCAGCTGCCCTAACACTGAATCTTAGCTGTGGAACTTTAACCATGTGAAATTTGGGACAGATAAAAAAGATGGCAAGTAAAAACTAAGTAACTTGCCTAGGAGTTAAAAAGCATTACACAACATAATTCTGCCAAATCTAAGCATGTTATTAATGCTATTTAACTTTGTTATTATTTGCCAAATTTAAGCACATTATTAAAATATATCAGCAGTTGCACAGAAGTGAAAGGGACAGATCTCCAAAAAAGAATCAGAAATCTTAGCAGAGCGTTATCCATCATTCTGCAGACATGAAGATTTATCTGCACTAGTGGGAAAGCAGTATTCCCCCAAGTCAGGGGAAAAGTGATCCTCTTCCCTCCCTGGTGTCCCTCTCCACACCTTTTCCTTGCAGAAGTTGCTATTTCCTCAAGTTCTGCTTTTTACAACTGCTTTAGCAACCTGAATGGACTCAGAAAAGTCTCCAGGAAAGAACTCTCTCCATTCTTCTGCTCTCTTACTTCTGAAAAAGCAGCATGAAAAATAGAAACTTGTCTTGCAAAAGAGAACAGTAAAGCAGTGGGAAATAAAAAAAAAGAAAAAAAAAATCCCCACACCCTGCTTATTACCTTTGTGAAAGGCTGGTACAAAGAAGCATGTGTGTGAAAATGGTTTCATGTTTTTGTTACCTGTCAGGACTAGAATTTAATGTTTAATTTTCTTTGCAAAATTTAATTTGATGATCTAAATTAAAAGGAGACATTGCTTCAGATGCTCATTAAGTTTTCAAGTTCGGGAAGAACTTCTGAACTCTTTCAGATCTTAAAGTAAGCTGAGCCACTTTCATTTGCTTTTCCAGATTCCTTCTGCATTCTTTCTGATCACTCAAGAAGAATGAAAACCTTTTATAATAGAAAGGACGGAATTCCTAGAAGACAGGCATGTCTCCCTTTGTAGCACAATTACCAGGCTACGAACATGGGAACGAACATGTTCACCTGCTTCTTGCAAAGCTGAAAGAAAAACAATCCCTGGCGTTACAAGAGAGCAGAGGCATGCCAGTCCACATACTTAGTATCCTCTTCTCTTCCCATCTCCCCTCTCTGACCTGGGATCGCTCACCCTTTGTGCAACCCAGAAGTGCCAGTACCTTTGCCAGAGAGAACAACGATTTGATTTCCCTTTCTGTATACACAACAGCCTTGGCACAGCCTCCCTGAAGCTGGGCTAAAGAAAAATACCATCTACCCTACATATGTTGATGCAGCCACTGTCAGTAGAAACCTCACAATTGTCATCCCTACAGCATTTCACTGGAACTAAGAAACACAGCCAAAATGACACTCTTTTTTAATTCTCTTTTCTTTTAAAGGGAACTAAACAGATGCCTTAATATAGAAAGAACATAGGTGCTCTGGCTTTTGCATCTGCAAGAGCATACACCAGGCACATGTACACACACGAAAAATGCTTCCAGAGTTGTCTACGGCGCCAGAAGCAGAGTCGCGCACCTCACAATAAATTCTTGAGCCTGTCCCTCTGCTGAAATAAACTGCAATACCTCTAACTGCAAATCAACTGTAAGACAGAAAACTGTATATCAAGAGAGGAACTGATCTGTATCAGAGACTCAACATAAACATACCTCCCCTGAGTTCACAGGCTGCTGCAAAAAACCCTTGGAAGAGATCCCTCAAAAAAAAAAAAAAAAAAAAATTTAACAGGATGGTAAGAGACCAATCTAATGGGAGTCATCTGAAAATGCAGCTTCAGTATCTGCAGAAATATTTTTTACTGTCATCTCTCCCTATAGTTTAAAACAGGTACTAATAACCAACAACCATAACCTTGAAATTGTGCATATTGTACACTCTTCTGGTCCCCTACAGCCTCAGATTTTCCTTGCACTTTCCTTCATCTCCACCCAAAAGAACTTTACTTGGAGGAAAGCTGTATTTACCAGGAACATCTGAATGTCACAGCATGCTTTCAGTTGATGAGTTCAGCAAAACCAGAAAAGGTCAAAACCACATCTTCAGGAATCTTTCATCGGACAGAATAAGCCGCTCTTTTGCTGGTAGATGTCCACAGCACTAAGCTGTGTGCTTAGTGCTGAAGCAAAATCTCAGCACAGCCAGTGCACCTAGCAGCAACTACTAAGCATGCATCAAAAATCAAATTGGACACTTCTTTCCCATTTTCGAGTCCCCATGGCATCCTAGCTGGATCACAAGCTGTTCCTAGTTACAGTTGCAGAAGCAGTCAAGTAATAAAGAAGTGTATTCACCTGTTGGATCTTCCCTGGGAAGGAAGTTCCTAACTCATTTGAGCTTAGCCACGTGGGTGTTCCTCTGAACCGCCGTGTAGTTTGTGCTCCAGAAGGGATAGGCCAAAGCATGAAAACAATAATCAGCAAGATTTGCATAAGGGGGAAAAAAAACTCCAAACCTGTCCCACCTGCAGACATTCCATCTTGAAAGATGACTTCCCCCTGCCTGAAACTCCTGTTGCATAACTAACACCACGCTCAGCCTGAGCACGAGCCCAGCAAGGAAAACTGGGATGTTCTGAAACATGTGCTGGAGCTCAGTCTGCGATGCTTATCTGAGCGCAGTCACCACAGCTGTTATGATGCTGTCTGCGAGCACCTGCTCCTGGAAACACCACAGCCACTCTGGATCCTGAGACACTGAACAGCTTTGATTTGTGTTTTTTGGCTAGGTTCTTTTATGTTGTTTTTAAAGAGGATAACATACTTGGATGGGGACTTAAACAGAAGGAGCAGTAATTATTTGGCAGAACAACTGAAGTAACTTCATTAAAAAGGATACTTTTCCATGTCCTTAAGCAGTATTACTGGTCATTTCACTTGGACTTTGGACTGAGCACATTCTACAGAAATGCAAAGGCTTGAGTTGTGAAATGGAGCCCTGCCTGGGCAATTTTCAAGTCCCAGCTCACTGGCTTTTTTTTTTTTTTTTTTTTTTTTTTTTTGTGGTGTTAAAAAGCAAGCACTACAGGGGGGGTGCAAGAATGAAGCTGATTGTCAAGTAGGACCCTGTGGATGTCGTTCATGTCATTATGAGAGAGGTACAAGAAATGAGGTGTTAAGAATCAATGCAAAGCAGGGAACACAGAAAGAGCTGTTCGGCATGAGTGAGACAACAAACCATCACAGTTTTAACTTTATTTTTAGCCTCCATGAATTCATCAGCTTTTTTAACATCTTCTGCAAAGAAGTCACTGATATTTTCTTCTTAAAGGAAGACCGAATACATCGGCAATTAGCTTCTTTTAGAGAATGAAGAGAGGAGGAATTTTTCCCAGAAGCTCTGGCACTCAATCCCACCTACTTTCAGTGGGAGCTGGATGTTGCGTGCCTGTGGGTGTGTTTGAAAATCCCGACTTGTTACTCGCTGCTTCTCTACCAAGTACCACAGATCCCAAGAAACCTAGAGCTCACCTGTGTACCAAAGGAGCTGAATGTCCACTGGTATCAGCATAAAAGTTTCCAGTTCACTGTCTATCCCTACGGTGCATAGTTTGTGCAATCTCTAATTTTTAAAAGCTGTAAACGACGCAGTGGATCTGCCTGCCTGCAGGCTGGTGAGAAGGGGGTGCACACACCCTGCACACGGCTGCCAGGAGCAGTCTCAGCTTTGGAAGCAAGCACTCAGCAGTAAAGGAGCTTGCTGAGGAACCATCACCCTCACCGACTGCCTTGTCCAAAGAGTGAAACACTTGTGAGCACGGCTGTCAGCCTGCCACCTTCCAAATTAAAACTCAAAGGAAAAAAGAGCATCACAGGCTGTGCTCAAGCACAGCCACTGCTGCTGCAGTTGTGGGCTCAGTGCAGGACGCTGGGCCTTCTCCTGCCGCTCCCCAGCCACGAGGGGACGGCGGCACGGCCCTGCCTCCAGCCCAGACACGTGTTCAGGGCACGGCAGCGGGCAGCATCCTGCAGCGGCTGCCGACACAGACACAGCGCCGGGGGGCAGCTCCCAAGATTTTTGCAATTGTAATGTTAATTGAATAATTTAGGTCCGAAGGACGGGCCATCAGTCGGGGACAAGGCTCTTTGTAGGATGAAACGGGGTTGTTCCCGCCAGGAAAGCGCGGCTGGGGGGGCTCGGCGGGCGGGATTCAGCCCTGTTCGCTGCGTGCGGGCACGGCCCGAGTAAACAACAGGTTTGGCAGGTCCCTTTAAATCCCTTCAGCTACACGCATCCGGACAGGGGGTAGGAGAGGAGACGGCAACTTTTATCTCGCCAAAGTGAGAGCGCAACGGGGAGCGCTTTCCTGGCGCAAGACGGTGACTTTAAAACAAAACAAAAAACCACCAAACCCGAAATAACAACGGTAAAAAACGCCCAAAAAGGCAGAGCTCGGTCGCGCCGCTGCCGCCGGGCACCGCGTGGCCCCGGGCACGGCCCCGCTCCCCCGTTAGCGCCGGCGGCCGGAGCCGGGGCCGGGCGGGCGGCGGCGCCGGGAACAAAGACCCCCCCGGGGCACACGACCTACTTTCGCGGGCGGCCCCGCCGGTCAGGTGGAGCCGCGGGAGCGCACACGCGGGTGGCCACAGCCCCCCCCCGCCCTGCGCGGGGCTGCCGAGCGCTTCAACTCGCCGAAAGGCGAGTAAAATCAGAAATAAATTGGAAGAGCACAGGAAGGGGAAGGCGGCGCGCCAGGGAGGAAAGCCCCGAGCGCGGAGGTGGGCGCTGCGAGGCGGCCCCCGCGCTACAAACGCCTCCCCACCACGCGGTCGCGGAGCAGCCGCCCCATCCGGCGCGGGGGGAGCGGCGGGAAGCGGGGATGGAGCCGCGGCCGCACCGCCGAGCACCCGGACCCCCGCTCCGGCGCGGCGGCGACCGTGCCCCGCCGCCCCCCGTCCTTCCCCCCCGCCCCGCGCCGGTTCCTCATGGCTCGGCCCTGACGTAATTCGAACATGGCAACAGTTTCACTTCAAAGGGCCGTCGCAGACCTCCCGGCAACGCGGGTACGCCGCGACGGGGGCAACGCGGACCCCGGAGCCCGGGACAGCCCCGGGGCGGCCGCCGGGGCCCGCCCGCCGCAGCGCCGGGCGCGGAGCCGTGCGGAGCACGCGTGCATCCAAAGTTTCACCGCCCCTCCAAACTCCTCCAAAACCAGCAGGCAGCCCCTAAAAAACACCGTCCCGTGCACGACAAGTGTCACCCCAGCGACACCCGCCAGGCCGGGGCCGAGCCCCCGCCGGGCGCGGAGGAGCGCTTTGCCCCGGCGCGCCGGGGAGCCGCGCCGCCCGCAGCACATGCGAGCCCTTTGTTTTCCCTGCAGCCGGGCGCTGCCTACGTGCCGCGCCGGGGGCACGCCGCTCGCCCCGCAGCGCTCCGGAGCCCCGACTTAAACTTGTTGGCGCCGGGCACACGCCGGCAGGAACGGGAGCCGCTTGCACTGGCACCGAGCTACGGAGCGGCAGGACGCCATCGCCGCCCGCCGCACCGGCCCCACGCCGGGAACGCCGCGCACCGGGCCGGGGGCAGGACGGGAAAGGCCCCACGCCGCGACCTGTGCGACCGACAGCACGTGTCCCGCCAGCCCACGGCCGCACGTTTTGCTCCTCTGCAGCGTGCACGGCCTCGGACTGCCCCGCACTCACTAATGATAACTGGAAACAATAAGAACTGCCCCGCTCTCCCCACGTGAAACACGGGGAGAGAGGGATGGGGGGCACCAGCGGGTCCCCCTCCCCTCCGCACGCCGCTGGCACCAAGTTGTGCGCGGGCGCTACAGGTGTGCGCTGCGGGGCGCGCCGGGGCCGCACCTGCGGCACCCGCTCCGCACCCGCGGGGCCACGCCACCCGCGTGGCGAGCCAGGGCAGCCGCGGCCCGGGAAAGGCGCCCTGCAGCCCGGTTTTCCAAACCCGCTCCGCACCTTAGAACTGCTTTCGGAGTTAAATCATGGGGAACTGGCTACTCTTTCCTCCTAAAGACTTGGAGATTTAATCGTACTTTGGGATGGGGGGGGGCAGAAGTCAGTTCTAGGGATGGGTCCGCAACAATGCGGGAGGCGTTCCTCTCCGCTCGCGCATCCTTTAAAACTCTACTAATCGAAGAAAAAACCGGGCGCAACGCCGCTCGCAGAAGCCACACGCGTGTCAAAGCTTTTCAAGGCGGCAAAGTCGTTTTGCCGCTGCAAAACTGCGGACAAGCTCCGGGGATTAACTTGGAATGAACAGAAACCACCGGCTTCTGGGAAAAAAAATAAATCCCAACACCACCAAAAAGAAAATAAAAAAAACAGAGGAAACCCACCAAGAGCGAACAACACAAAACAAACAAAACAAAACAACAAAACAACCCGAACAACACGAACCAACGAGCAGCCACAGAACTCAGCTGGAGCCCGGCCGGAGGAAGGGAAGGCATCACTCACCGCCGCTCGCCCACAACCCCCGTGCGGTGCGCGGCGCTCCCGCCCCTGCCTCGCGCCGCCCCGCCCCGCCCCGGCACCGCGGGACCGCCCCGCACACACAGCCCCGAATAGCGCCGCAAACACAGCCCGGAACAGCCCCGAACAGCACCGCAAACACGGCACAGCACCGCAAACACTGCCCCACAAACACTGCCCCGAACAGCACCGCACCCGCAAACACAGTCCGGAACAGCCCCGAACAGCACTGCAAACACAGCCCGCACACACAGCCCCGCGCATCACCGCAAACACGGCACAGCCCGCAAACACAGCACAGCTCCGCACACACAGTCCCGAACAGCACCGCAAACACGGCACAGCCCGCAAACACAGCACAGCTCCGCACACACAGTCCCGAACAGCACCGCAAACACAGCCCCGCAAACACAGCCCTGAACAGCACCGCAAACACGGCACAGCCCCGCAAATGCAGCCCCCAAGCATCACGGCAAATACAGCCCCGCAACACAGCACAGCACTGCAAACAGCGCCGAAACACAGCCCAGCCCCGCAGCATCGCCGCGAACACAGCCCCGCATCACGACCCTGCCACCCGCGGTGACAGGCCGGTGACAGGCCGGTGACACTCTGCCCCCTCCCAGCGCGGCGTTTGTGGCCATCGCACCGAGCCCCGCGGGGGGAGCGTCACAGGGAACAGGGAAGGGGTTTTTTTTCCGCTCCGGGTTAATTTTAATGTTCGTTTTCTAAAGCGCTTTAAAAGTCATCAGTGGCTTATGTAATTTTTCCTGCAGCGTCACAATGAGTGAATTAAAAAGTCGCGTCATCGCAACCTTTGGGTTCACGCTCTTTTGTGCAATTTTGGAAGAGCTGCTTCACGAGGCGGCTGGCAGGTTATGTTGAAATAGATTTCCTTTGAAAACTGTGTCAGACGGATTAGCATGTGATATACAAGGTAACACCTAAGGAGTTATGACTTAGCACCATTACAGCCTGTGACTGCAATAAAGCTGCGAGCTACTCCCTCCCGGGCTGGCACTCAAACCGAGCCCAAATATGGATTCCTTTCTTTTGAACTACTTAAAAGTTTAAAAGTTTCCCACAGAATCAACTGCAGCTCTGGCACCACATGCAGGTGTTGCTGAATACTCTAAAACACTGAAATAATGCCAATGAATATTTCTGTAATAATTGTTGTTTTTTTTTCTCATGACAGTGACCTTTTCAGACTAATCCTGATTTAGGCACAGAATTAACAACTCACCAAGAACTTTTGCTGAAATTATCCTTTTGCTTCCATCAACAGCACTAGCTAAGACCTGGGAATTTTCAGAGAGTGGGACAAGCTACTTTTTCTTACCTTAGTCTGAGGATCTTACATCTTCTCTACTTGCTTGTAAATCCATGGTAATTCTACCCCGTGTCTCCTTCCTCAATGCTGCCAAACCAGCCAGCTTGGACACAGAGGAACACCTCCCAGGGAACCCTCCAGGCTGTCATTTGAGTTTTGGGGGGTTCCTTTTGAATAGCCTCTGCTACCAGGGCTTCCTTCCAGACACAGCTAAACCAAATAATATTCAACTTGTGAGCCACAGATGTACCAAATGCTGAATATTTTCTCAAAATATTTCTATAATTTCACTGCTTTTAACTGATCTAGGGAACTCTACCAGCACTTTTACAACTTTTGTTTACATATAATGTGTCTGATTTCATCTGCCTCTTTCTTTTTGATTGGAGGGAGTGCTTCTCCCAGATTTTCTCCCATTATTTCCCCATTTCTTTGTTCTAGCACACTTCTCAAGGCCCGTTGGTGACATTCCTTTTAGTAAAGCACCACCTAGTATAGCATTTAAATCCCCAAGTGACAATGAAATGACATTTCCAAGGAGAATTCCCTAAGATATCAAGCAGAACCCAGTGGAACAAAATGGATCTCTCGGTGCCAATCAATTGCTGCCCTTATCACCACCATGCTGAATGCTCACAGAATGTCTCAGGGTGGGCTTTGATTGCAAATAAATCAGGGTCAGGACAACTTCTCTGGTATTTATTTCACAGCCCTGTGCCCTTCCACTTCAAATCTCATGAGGACAGGTGTTGCTGTACCCTGGGGAGGATTTGAGTTTCCAAATTCAGTGCTGCTCCAGCCTGTGAACAGCTCCATCATTCCTGTCCTCTCAGAGGAAAAAAACCCTTCTATCCGCAGAATTCCAAATGGCAACACAGAAATGAAAAACATGGTCCAACCTTCATTTCTGTAACATCTCTGTTTCCCCTGAAGTGTTTGCTGATGACATTTCAGGGCTATGCTGTAACTCCACAGTGGTTTGAGTTTTCATTTTTGGCTGATAGCCAGCTTGCAAATAAATAAAAGGCACTCAAATACCTAATGAGCTTTCATCAAGGTTCCTCTAGCCCCTTCCCCTTGAGCAAGCCGCGTGTGCTGTCCACAGCATCAGAGGGACACCTTGTCTGACCTCACTGTTTGGAAAGAGGGTGGTGAAAAATAGCCCCCAACTTGGGACAAACTTGGAGAGTTTAATTTAAAAATGCAGATATCTGAAACAATGCATGCATCTTTACACTACAAGTAAAGCCTCATTTCACAAGGTTCTTTTTTAAAAAATTAAGCATCTTCCTTTCCACTCAGGGCTTGGTATAACGGAGGAATATGGGATTTCACAGAGATCCCAGGTGACCTTGAATATGAGCTTTAGACTAGAGGATTTATCCTCATCCAGATCAGTTCTGAAAAACATTTACTTTAAGAATGCATGTGGAAAACTAATTGGACTGCTGCTGTGCTCCAGTTAAACTGGTACCTTCCCTGCCTGGACTCTTAAT